GGCCAATTCACACAAGCTGCATATTATCAGATGCAGCAAAACACGCTGAATTCGAATTCGAATTCCGCATCTGGTTAGCACCTTTGTGGACGAAGTTATAAGCCGTTAAAAGCTATCATTTTGTTAAGAAAACGTCCATGCAAAGCGCAAATTTGGCAGTAGAGAGCCACGTTCGGCTCAATGCTGGGCCAAAACATGCAGCTAGGTTACATTATATTCTTGAAGTTTGAAGTTGAGTTGAAAGTGCAAAAATGTGCTCAATTTGGCATTTTTTATATACGATTTTTTCGCAATAAAACTGCTCATACTTGGTCCAAAAAGGTGCGAAGCAGATATGGAATACAGATTTCAAATCAACGTTAAACGCTGCTTCGAATGGTAGGCAACTTGCTTGAATTCGCCACTTCGACTTCTGACCATTCCCTTGTAAGCAGAAAAAAATTCCGTTCTCAAGGTGCAAAACATTTTAGCATTTTCTATTATCCTTGAAGCAAACAAAAAAAAATTCAGAGTCTAACCACGCTTCATCTAAGCTCACGTACAAGCTCCCTGAATTGTTGTCAGCATCGGAAACTGCAGAATCACAACGCAGTTGCATTTCTCATCTGCCCTCTCACAGCTTCTTCAAAGTTTCAACAACACTCATCATTGTTCAAACCCTCCGCCAAGACCCTTAATCTCTTATATAAAAATCGCTTGTGAAGTGCGACATCAAAGGTTGCTCGACTTCCATTTTAACATTCCGAGAATATTCATGACCACAGAACAAAATATTGATGGTAAGTTGAATTAGCGCGCAGCAAAATTGTCTTCCTTAATTCTCGCTTATTATTTTTTAAAATGGTTTTTCTTGAATGGTAACTCAAATGGTCTTGACCGAAAACATAGCAAGGAGTAAAGATAAAGACATTCGTAAAAACAGTGTCTCAAACTGGTGGTCAATAATTCACTACCAACAGTATTAGGTTGTCCCATAAGTTTTTTCATATTCGGACCTTCAATTCGATTTTTCTCAGGAACTACAGCACCTAGTAGGCTGCAAATTTTTGGCAGTAATTCTGAGCGAATAAGCTATATAATCACCTACTTGATTAATACAGAAGTGATATAGGCAAAGTTTGAAAATTGAGCGCATTATTTTGTTCTTGGTTTCTAGCCATCAGAAAAACGCAGAAAGTGCATTTATAAATATCCAATGAGGAGAGTATATGCATGAAAAAATAGGAAATTTGCAGAGCTGTTTTGAACTGAGATATGATGATTTTCGTTTTTCGGAAAATCGGGAAAATTTTTTATTTTGGCTTGGAGCATGTTGCGGATTGGACTTGGTGCGAACTTTTGAACGCCATCTTGTAGAGCTTACTTTGATCTGTCGAAGGGTACCCTGCAATTTATCAGTAGTTCAAGAAGAACTGATCTATGTCGTCGAAAAGTCAGGTATGAAAAGACTTATGGGACAACCTAATAGAATGGTTTAATAGATCTTTGTCTGGATTAGAGCAATTGCGAAACCTTAAAGTTTAGACAGCTCTGGCTCCACGTTTGCGGTTCACGTGATTGCAATTACACTTTTGTTGACAATGTCAATTGTTTCTACGGGTTGTTTCAGACTGCCGCACTGACTGCAGCAGACTGCAGCAGACTGCTGCAGTCAGTGTGGCAGTATGAAACAACCCTACCTTTGTAGATGGCACCGCAATACTTTCAACATGGAAGGATGAGCAATCGTACTTTCAAGCAGGCATGATGCGCTTGCGTAATATTCCTGCCTTCAACTCAAGTTTTGCGAAATTGGAAGACTCAGCTTCAAATTAAATATTTATCGTTCAAGCTTGAATCCGTGTTCGTAAGGTTTTAGATCGCTATCACTATTGCTACTGAGTTACTCTCTTACTTTATCTCTTAACTGGACGCATCATTTGGACTTTCCTCCCTATGAGACAGTCCCTTTTTTGGCTCATCACTGCGTTCCTTGGAATCTTGTCCAATTTTTGGTTTCATTTCTGGTCTCCAAGGCATTCCCAATCCAGATCCTGATTCTTGTCCAGTTTTTGGTCCCATTTCTGGTCTTAGCAGTTCCATTCCAACTACGTGCATTTCCATCCCTGCTCCCCGTTCAGGCACCCTAATCCGCTATACATTCAAGACTTGACGGTATCAAGAAGGCTAGTTGGCACACTTAAAACAACAAACCCGGATTTTTCAAGATAAGTGTTCTGTAAAACCTTAAAGGCAGTGTGCGGACAAGGTGGGATCGTTCTGGGAATTCAGTGCGCAAGAGTGGGCCCCTCGGGCACGCCATCGCACAAGTGCGAGACCATAACGTCCGACACAACTAGAAAAAATTGTCAGAAAGCTAGGAAACTAACACCTCGAGGCGGATCCCTCCACTTATTTGAATCGCTGCTCTGCGGCAGAGTACGCATGCCGCCACAGTTGCAGTCGTAGGGTCGGCAGCGACATTGCGTCTCAGCCTTGACGAAAACCGTTTAATTTTAATTCTAAGTTTCTGGAAATCGCAGGTTCCCCTTTTCTGAAAATCTAGTGACACTGCCTTCAAGAATAGGATTGATTTTGCAAAAGTAACCTCTGATGTACTTAGTTACGTTCGGTTATGAATATCAGCTCACCCTGTCTGAATGCGGAATAGATTAGAACAGCGACTATAGCGAAATTGAACAACATTTTTGACTGCAAATCTGAATAACATAGAAATATGCAGATATGTTCTTATGGATTTTCCAAAGCTGAATAATTCAATAACCCACGCAAATTACGAATCTGAATGACTTGTCGCCACAATCGCTGCTTACAGCATTTGCCAGATTATGTATGTATCAACAATGTAAAGAAATTCGTTATACAGTTTCCCATATGTATTGTATTGTATGATTACTCAAAGTATGTGAAAATGTTTCGATGCCATAAATATGACAGCAAAGGCATCAAATGGAATTGTTAGAAGTTCTTCTACATGAACAGATCCATATTTCCATGTTGTCTATGAATATCGCCAAATAAACTTGTCAGCAATCCTAGTTACAAAATGTTCTTCGGCATTGCTAGCATTACAAGATGCCAAGAAACAAATTGTAACAAATTTTTACCTTTTTCTATGTATAAAAGGTGTTATTTTCAAACAGCATCAGTACTATAAAGATGGAAGTAATTAACCTTGCTCCACACTCAACAGAGTATTTGCATTCTTGAGCTGCTTCTGTGCATTCTTCTTTTCTTGCTGAACAAGTGCTTTTCTCTCCGCCACTTGTTCGCAATACTTCTCCTTGTGACTGTCGTCTTGCATTTCCTCCAGATCCACAGCTTTTGCATTCCCTAGCAAAGTGAGCTTTACCAAGTTCCAGCAAGCAAGCCAGATAATTCTCTGACAAATGCGCAACCCGCCACAAAACGTCCAGATGGTACAACCCTTTTCATAGGAACACGGGTCAGGTGATTCTCTATAGGCTAACAACTTATCCATTTTTTGCGGTCATTTGGCATTCAAGCAAATTTGCTCCGTGAAATAGCCTTTTTAACGTTTGATGAATGCTAGTTTGCACTGCAAATTTTTATAATCAGGGTGTATCTGTAGCCCAGATACTAGAAGGTGAGATTTTTCCAAAGACGTTTAGCCGGAAGTGGCTGCAAATTTTGACCAACTTCAATTTTGCCATTTTTCTCAGAGCCCACTTTTGCACGGAACTGTAAAATTTCTGACAAAGTGTAAGCAGTGTGATTTGCACGTAAAATCAAAACTTTCAAATCGCTCTTTGCGAAACAAAGTATGATATAGCAAAGAACAATACAGATTGGTAAGAGGCAGCATAAGTGTGACGGCGAGCATAGCTGCTCCAGAATTGACCAACTTGTCGAGCTTGATTATATTTACCACTAAAAAGCACTTTTGGTACAACGATATGGCAACTTGGTGAGAGTAAACGCAGATAAAGGCAGTGTCTCGGCAGATTTTGACATTCTTCCTTTCTGCATGTTTTAGGCCTTTTCGTCACGTAGAACCCGAATTTGAGCTTTGAACGGGCTGAAAAGGCCGATTTTGGGGCGTTTACCTAATTCCAAAAAAGCAGCTCGGACGATATTTTCAATGGAAAGTTGCGAAGTCCTCAGACGAAGACCCTGCCGCCTTCAATTTATGCTTTAGATAGCATGCACAATGAGGGAGAGCGCTCGTGAGGTCCCGCGCCGAACAGACAAGGAAAGCCGTCCGAGCGCGCGCCATTTGGGGTTGCGCGCGCCGGTTCAAGGGCCATTTTCTTGGCCCAGGGAGAGCATCATCCAGTCGGACTGCGCCTGGAGGTCGGTGGGGTGACCAGGAAACCCACCACACCTATATCCTCCAGGACCCGAATCTGCTGGGACACTGCCTATAAGGAAGAAAGCAATACGAACAATAATATATGTTTTTACTTCATGGAAACAAGCAGACCTTCAAGCGTCACTCGCACGGCCCAAGGTAAATTTTAATGGAACTGCGCGTTTTCGTAACTTGTCGTTCATCTTGGTCACTTAGAAAGAACAAATTGTAAGGATATAAACAAATTTAACAGCTAGAGTAGTAATATATTAGTGGTCCCTAGAGTTCGATACTTCGCTCCCCAACTTCATTTTAATAAGAGACTGGCCTATAGCGGGCAAAATAAAAGCAGTGTAGATAGCTGATGACTGATGATTCTACTTGGATCTTCTGCTTTTTTCTCTAACATCGCAAATTCTCCATTTTTTGATTGTGCGCTGTATGCTTAGTGCTACAAATTCGAAATTCATCAAGAATATGTATGCACTCTTTTCACAAAGCAGTAAGTAGTGCTGGGATGTGCTTCATACAACGTCAAATATTAGCACTTTCCGCTAACTGAAGCGGTATGTAAGCCAAATAACAGCATGTATTCTGGTTTTTACGATTTTTTATGGTATATTACTCTCCACTATAATGAACGACTACCAACTATTCGGGCCAATATCCACAACGCGTGAAAAGAATTCTTCATTCAAAAAGACAAGAACTTTCTATCAGAAACGCAAAACATAGTAGCATTACACTTGAGAAACACATTAGCCTATCAACACCGGACAAGGCTGCAATAAAGTGCCAGTCGTCAACTTTGGCAGGAATTTTAGAAGCGTTTCCTGGAGGAGCAGCTGCATCCAAAGCAGCTTGAGCAGACTCTGGAGTAGCTGGATGGGCAGCGCCTTCCACGAAGCATTCCCTGGAAAAATTATGAGGCATGATGTTTAATACAGAATCTAAGCTTGATGTTTATGAATTTTGGCATAACTGTGATTTCCATTCTTTCAAATCGAAACCTAGACTGTTAGAGCTTTTAATAGCAGCTGAGGTTTCGGTGCCTTCATCTACAACGGATCCTCGGCGTCTTTAAGTCGAGCTGAGCCATACTAGCGATTAACGGTTCAGGCTCGTGCCAGGTGGCTCAAATTGACTCAAAGATTGTCGGGGCTCCGACGATGGTGATGGCACAACGTTGACCTGTATATCTCCTAACAAAAGTTTCAACACAACTTTTTGAAAAATGACTTACGTATTTAACTCGGGCGTTGCTTCTTTTATGAGCTTTTTCCAGTACTCGTGGGTATTATCTATGACTTTGTGGGCATAATCACGCTCTTTATACTCGCCATTGAAACCAAATCGATTTTCAGGGTTCCCGGACGGAACTTTGTAAAAACGGAACCATTCGACGGTGGCCTAAAGATACATTAGTGCAGATAACTCTAGATAACTCTAGTGTTGTTCCACCTTCATTCCATAATTTGTCTACTTCATCCTCGAAAGGGTCTTCAGAAAAGCAAATTTTTTCTACAAGTAGCTCTCTTCTCACAAATCTTGCTTGTCCCTAGTCTCAAGTATTATTCAGTGGAACAATCTACGAATCTCAACAGTATAGACGCTTCATCCATCGCTCATTATTGCAAGATTACGGTAGAGCTTTGAAGAGCTTTCGAACTATCAATGACTATATGAACTATCTTAGGCTAGTCTGAGTCGCTGACTATCAAAATTTAAAATTCTTACTTCACCATAAGGCTTTTTTCACTAGTTGCGCCAGGTAAACGGCAGCAAAAATTTTTCAATGTTTTTTTTTTCAAAAAACACCATTTGAAGCCTCAGAACTGTAAAAGTTGTCTAATGAAATCGGCATGTCTGAAAATACTGCTACATCACTTTTCAAAAAAAATATTCAGAATTTTGGTTTCAAAAGCCTACTTACGGTAGCGCTGCTTATGCTGGAAATTACTGCCCTAATATTACAGTAATCAAAATCGATCGGTGATTTGCATAAGGCTGCAAATGTACAGCTTTGAAAGGCTCAAGCTTAGCAGAAGGTTTTTGAGTAAAGAGTTATTGACGATTAAAAAGTGTACTTTCTAGCACCCTGTATCTTTGTATTAGCTTGCTGCATGAGTATTGTTTAACTTTCGATTTTGCGTAGCTGTTGTTTTAAGTGATTGTCGTCTTCAACGCGATAATGTTTGCGTCACTAGGATTTTTGTCATTTAACGCTACAAAGGCTCAATAAAACCCTAATTCCAGCGTACTTACTAATTCCAAGTGGCCTAAGTACGGTCTCACCTGAAAAATATGTTCTTGCGAAAAAATTCCCGCATTGCTCTTTCCAAGTCAAGTTCTCGTACTGCTCAATAATTAAGGTGTTACAGGCTAGTGTGTGCGCACAAAATGACTTTCATGTAGAAATCATCTTGCCCTTAAAATCCATTAAGTACTAATTATTCATATAAGCGTTCTACAAGCAGTGATTTTTTGTGAACAAAGAGAAAATGAGTCCAAAGTTGAAGATGTAGAGTAAAGCCAGAGTTGATAGGGTTCATTCACTAACTACTCTTAGTAGTTTACGGCTGGTGCAATTTTGATAATTTGAAAATAGGCATGTATGTGTGTACTAAAACGAGGTAAAAAGGCGGCTATCGTCTGCTTGAAAAGAAAACCGCAGTCATCAAAGACTATGGGCCTTTTGGTCGTGGAGTGATTTTTGAAAATTTCCCTATCAAGAGGTAGCTACTTCAATTCCTATAAGGAAGCATTACCATTAAAAGTGTTGAAGACGACTTAAAATTTTTGGATTTTGACTTATTCTTCGTGTACTTTTTATGTCTTTGTAAGCCTCTATTAACTAGAAAAAATAGTCTATGAAGTTGAAGTTGAAGCTCTTCAAAAAAGTTGTTTTTCAAAGGCGTTATGATTTGACTTTAAAAAATGCAAATCCGAAATTTTAAAAATGCAAACTCGTGCAGCAACCTGATGCTAATTTTGCAAAAAACCAGCGCACGCTTTGCATCTCTCCCAAGAACAAAACTCCTTAAGATATTCTACAATTGCTGATTGCTAAAAAGCCACTCATGAAGTAGCAGACAAATTACATCGTGAAAATAATCGAAATTCGCCCTCCACATTACCTTTTTTGACACGATAAGATATAGTAACATAGCTCGGCAACAGGCTAGCGTGATACTTAAATTTCAGGCCCCATTTATTTCGAACCTTGACTTCAGTCTTTTCAAGATTATGTTGTGCATACGACCTTTTACAGTATCACAAAATTTTTTTTTCTTTTTTCCCAGATTTTCTTCATGGAGAGTTTACAACATTGCTTCTTTGTCTCCTCTTCGTTCTTCTTCTTCCACGCCAAATAAGTATAGATAAGAAGTAAAGAGTTAGAGTCTCATCAGTACTCAACTACCATGTCCCAATGAAGCGAACATATGGAGGGGCAATGAATTACGAACTTTAAGCAACCCAGGGAGATGTTTGTCGACATCGTCTATGTTGTTCATCTGGTTGGCTAGAGTGTCATTGACTGCGATAGAAACCAACTTCCAATCAGTTTGTCCGTCATCGATAAGAGCGAGTACACCAAGAATTTTGACCTAAAAAAAGTGTTATCGCAGACTGAAAATTCGATACAGTGGGGCAAGTGACAAAAACTTATTTGAACGACAGCCCCTCGTTTCTGCACTTTTGATCCTATATCTACAACATCAATCGGGTCGTTGTCACCAACTGCATTAGTTTCATCCACAACATGATTAGGATCCTCCCAGGTCTAGATGTTCGCGTTGACCACGATCCAGTTCATTATGAATCTCACTATCCCACCTGTGGAATGGCTCCATAATTCCAGATGTACCCTTTGTGAGGGAATATGTTAGGTACAAATCGGGGAAGACCTTCCTTGACATCTTGTTTGATGGGAGTCATTGCTTCCTTGGTAGACATCTAAACGGCACATTTCTCATTGGAACAGATTTAGCAAAAAAAGCTTGTATGACAACCTCCATCTTGGCATTTGTCCAGCGGGGAATTTCAACAATCATATTATAAATTTTCTTGCTTTCATCAGCATAAAGAGGAATATCATGCCAAGGAGACAAAACACCATCGGGACCCTCTTAAATGCAGTTGTGAGAAAGTCCAAGCAAGCTTTATCACAGCTTACTAATAAAAACCCGATAATCGGTTTCATGAAGGGATCCCCGTTCCACAGTCTCGTACTCGACACCATCAGCCCTTAAAGCAACATTTCGAGACTCTAATGATGATTCTTCATGACTTTCTCTTAGGCATCAATGAGAACGTTGGCCGATTCATGAAGTAGTTCGCAAAGCTTGAAAATGACTACAGTAGTCATATCATGACTTATAATAAAGCGCTAAACGTCTGTCTTTTTGTGCGTGTGTATGTGTTTGTCTGTCTGTCACGAAATTTATAGAGGCAGCTGCAGCCAAGCTATCGAGCTACAATTTTGCATAGCATATCGTACCAGCGTGTAGGCCCACCATGCACAAGGACGAGCCGGTTCGATAAGCGGGTCCTTTGAAAATTGCGCCTCAAACGGGTCCACCTGGCTTTTGGCGCGCAAAACTAGGTCACAAATTCAACTTTTTGCAAAGTCCTGATTTGTCTGACAAGCAAATCTGCGCTCCAAGAATTCTAGCTCAAAAAGTGCTCAAAAAGTTTGCTGCGAAAACAGCGCCAAAAAGTAGTGATCGCGTAGAGAGTCGATTTGACAAGGTTTTACATAAATATTTGAAAAGATTTTTGCATGGAAATGTAGCCAAAAATGATTATTATCTTTATAACAATTATCAAGCCAAAATAAATTCAATAATCTGTTCGAGTTCGTATTTATTCCTTGGCAAAAAACTTTTCTTTCTCAAAATTACCGATCTTACATGGAGATGCTTCAAGAATGAACAGCTGTACAATTCATTTATGATGTACAGCCTCGCGCGGTGAGTTTCAAAGTCATCATTTTGGGAGCATGAATAAGGCATACGGATAACAGAGCCAATGCGAACCTTCGCGAAGCGGAGGTGACGCACTGGTTATTTGATAACCAGTGTTTCACGTCTTCGCAGAGGTTCGCACTGGCCATCATGAAAAGTATTGGTAAACTTATGTAATGATCTTGACCTTCATCATTCTTTGATGGAGGAGACCGCAAAGTAATTACAAAAATGAACCTTACTTGCTTTGCAACTCTCACATGCATTTAAGCAATGTAAATCATTCCTCACTGTAATTTCGTAACAGACAGACTTACAGACCCACAAATAAGCGGCTTATTATAAGTCATGATGATTCTTTGTACTCCGCTGCAGGCTGCAGAGTATAGCAGATGAAAACTGCAAAAATCTAATCAATACAGCCACTCTGTTTGTCTGAAAGATTCTATAGCAAATGCTATTTTTTGCACTTTTTATTGACAGCGGAAAGGTCGTACAGCCATCTCGTTCACCTTTCTGTGAGAGTAATAAAGCGATGGAGGAAAAGTACGAAAATGATGCTAGCAACAGTTTATCTTATCGTAACATTGAGAGCCCGGTCAAAATGAACCTGTGTATTTTTGCTGAGAAAGCCGTTTGGCAAATAAAAGTACGAATGCGGAATAGACGGTATTGGTGTGAGTCATGACGTAAAAAACCACCTATTAGTGTGAGTCATGACGTAAAAAACTACCATTTCCGGTAATGAATACATTCTGCACGGCGGAAATCGTTGGGATCACTCACACAGAAAAGTGAAACTCCGAGTTTTAGCTGTCAATTCTTCAAAATTCTGTCTTTCACTTTCTCGAATTTATTATTTGTGTTGCTGTCTTCATAGCCTAATAAATCGATCAGTGCAGTATGGAATAATTCGCGGATGAATCTCTAAAACTAAACGGCATTTGAGCAAAATGCCAAAGTTCATTAAGTACTAACAATAAAAAAGCCTTGGCATAGCAATACTGGATTGATCACCATAAATTTTGGGCCCTACTTGGGCCTTTGCAAAGACTGGATATTCATGAAAGGAGTAGGACTGGTAGATGAAAAACTTTTACTTTATGATCAAACTGTTTGTTTTCTTATGTCCAGTTCATAAATGTCAACAAAAGAGTTTGCCACAAAGTGCTAGCCGCTGTATAACATCGTGCGTGCTTTGAATCAGAATAACAGATTTTTTTCTCTATGTATCCAAGTATTCAGACGATTTAGAGTCACTTTGTGGTGATTCGCGTTGAAATATTTGTTTGTTTTCAAGTAAATAATAAAAAACTAACCTTTTCGGGTTTACAAGGAATGCAGCGAAGAGAACAGCAAGAGCTAGCATAGCCGCTTCTTGTGTGCTTCGAATATAAGGCGCGAGCATTGAGACCATAAAAATAAAGATTCGGAGGCTCTTATCTTCTCAAAAACTGCACTTTTTAGAGATAATACATGACAGTGATCCCTTTATCAAAAGTATTCTGTTTTATCAATTCTGAGTATTATTAGTTACTAAATTCCTGAAATGGGTTTTCTCAGCTGTGGTTGTTCCTTTAGATAGGACGCTTTCATGTAGAGTTCTACGGCACATTAAAATTTTAAAAGATCTTATCCGTATTATCTATTATATGAATGTCTTATTTAACATCGCAAAGTGCTCTGTGCTTCTTTAATGGTCCAAGACTAGAATTAGGAAAAATAAAGAGGAAATATAGATGCTTTCATTATATGCTAATCATGCTCAACAACGTATTTTTTCCAAAGCCGACTTATACAGGGTGTCCCAAAAGTAAGTACACACTTTTCAATCGTTAATATCTCTCTTCCCAACGGGTCTTTTTTTGCCGGTCAAGTACCATTCTGTAGAGAAGCCTCAACTTAGATTTACAGTATCAATCCAATCATCGATCGCTTTTCGTTTCTGTGGGATTACGGTAAGAACTTCCAGCATGTGGAACCATCGTGAAATATGCCATCCAATGAAATTTTTTTTCAAAAAATCTGAAAAATCGCGTACCAGGGTTTTCGCGCACGTGATTCCACTACACAACTTTTTACGGGTGTTTTCAGCTTTTTTTGACGGTGTAACCACTTCTGACAAATAATGGGAATTCGGTTATTTACGTCTACTTGGGATGACTTTGGAAAGAAGCATCACATAAAGTGGAAATTTCATACTCGAAATCAGCGGCTTCCATTACCATAGTATAAGGGTTTTCGACTTGTTTGTTTTTGTTTCGAGGCAGAATAAGGCTTCTTATGGCCTAAAATCCTTGTCGATTCCTACAGTAATCCTACAGTAATGGAGAGCGATTGGCGATTTGCTCAATACTGTAAATCTAAGTTGAAGCTTCCCCTACAGAGTGGTACTTGAATGGCGGAAAAAGAGACAATGGGAGAGATATTAACGATTGAAAAGTGTGTACTTACTTCTGGGACACCCTGTATATCTGCATGTTCTTAGAAATCAAAAAGGATGAGGTGACGGCTGGCTTCGAAGGAGCAAGTTACTAAGAAGAGCTAGGAAGATATAAAAGCTAATAAGAAATGCTTCCACTTCATGAACTCCAAAGGTTTGTCATGAGGTGGTGTGAGAACGGAGAGGCAGTTTTCTTTGATTTTGCAAGGAAATACGTCGTGCCTTTTGCGTATTAGAATTGGTTCTAAAACGAGCAGAAGCAACAGTAAATGGGTGCGAAAAACAGAGAAGACAATTAAAATTTGAGAGAAACCAGCAAAAAATGGAACAAGCTGGTTATGCAAAACCGCAAAGCGTAGTGCTATACTACACAAGTTAAAAAGAGTTAAATGACAAAATATTTGGAAAATGGTGTGGACTATGACATTGCCTGCGCACTGTCAGCTTAGCTGGCACTTGGCCGGCATCTGCTAGTAAATATAGAAAATGTAGACCAAGGTGAATTTGCATAAGCTTTTCATGATTCGTCCCTATATTGTTTCTGTTCGCATTGCATATGTAACCAAAATCGTGTAGTATTGCTGATTCGGTGGTTTATTGCATCGCTGCCATATTTTAGTCACGTGGATCACTCTCATGTTTATGCTGTTTGCATAGTTTGTCGTGACTGCTACTCGTAAACTCACTTTGGTTCCCATAATTATTTTTTGAAGGAGTAAATAAACATTATTTTCAGGTGTAAGCCGAGGGGGATTTTAGTATGAAACCTACCAGCCCCAGCACGCCAAAGGACTTCGCAACCAAAGTACCCTGTACCGTGCTGCGTACTGAAAGAGAGAAGCGTGCGAAATATTGATAGTTTTCCGAAACCCATTAAAACGGCTGAACAACTCGCTTAAAAATTTGAAAAAGGTTGCGGCTTATACACATGAAAATAGGTACATATCAGCCCCAGGGTAGAGTTGAACAATTAATAATCGCTTCTTAGATGAAATACAAACATTCAAGAATACCGCTGAGACGCCTCCCTTACAATCTATTTGTTCGTTGTGGTTGAGTGTAATCAAGTGTTCCTAATTTTCTCCATTTTCATGAAACCAAATCGTCAAAGCATTCGAGACTCAGAGAGAGAGCTTGTCCATGGTAAAAATATTTCAGAAACAACTGCTTTTTGTAGCACATTTTCGCCAACAACAACCAAGGCCCGTAGCGCGTGCATCCTCGCTGGGAAAGGGGATCGCAGCCTAGAGAAAAACTTCAAATCCTGAAGCTCCAGATATCTGGATTTCACGCTGTCCACCTATTCGTAAGCATTCCCACTATCCTTCTGAATATATTAAACAGGAGCGAAAAGTTGTATAAGCCGCAATTTCCAGCTTTTGTATGATTCCCTGATCACCTGGCTACCGACGAAGACCGCTTTTTTCTGAGTCACTCTTCTTTTTATAAGTTCCCTGATGATCTCCGGTGATCGACCGCCTTTTTCTCAAAGCAATTTTTCTTTATTTGAAGTCAGCGAAAATCTTTCAGAGTTATACTGATTATCTAGCCCAACAGTGCTAAGCATGTTGCTGATAAGAACATATGAGTTTTTGAAATATCGAATTTTTCGATAAACCTCAATTATTGACTCGTGGTTCGTTGAATATTTCATGACTCCATTACATCGTTTGTTTATATCAGCAACATGCTTGAACCGTTGGATTAGATAATCAGTACAACTTTCAGAGGTCCTCATTAACTTCAAAAAAGAAAAATGACTTTAAAGAAAAGACGGTTGGTGGCCAGGGATCATCAGGGATCATAAAAAGTTAAATAATGCAGTTCATACAGCTGAAGGATGGTGTAAATACTTACGGGTAAGTAGACAACACCAGATCCAGATATCTGGAGCTTCAAATATGAAGCTTTCTTTTAAGCTGTGATTCCCTCCTGTGCGGGGATGTTAATGCATACGGAAGCGTCTGTACTGTTTTATGTCTATCTTATGAAGGTTTAATATCCAATGTATGAGTAAATGAATGCCAGAGCTTGCCATACAAACTGAGCTTGTCATCGCTTTGTATAATCCCTTAGGAGATCCTCAGGGAATTACCCTCAAATCTTCAAAGTCATTTATCTTCCCATAAACCCGATAAATGCCTTATAATCGTACCGTGGATATACTGCGCACTGCTACTAGTAAAAATTAGCGAAATCTCTAAATATTGAAACCGCGAGAGCTGGGATTAGTCGAAAAACTCATAACCTGCACAACTTATCTGTCGAAAACATCCGTAGCAGTGCCATAGTAGATTCAGTACAATTTTACGGTGTTTTTATCGACTTTCTGGAAAGATAGACGACTTTGAAAATAAGATATACGAGACAGCGAAATCACAGTTTGTGTGGCCTTATTTTGCCATCCATGGATACTTAAGCATCACTGTATAAGAAATTTCATAGTACAAACAGAAAGAAAGACTACATACTTAGAGTAGCGAAAAATGACGCGTCCCTCTCAAGGGTCTTGTTATAAGCGATGAATCATCTCAAACACTGCTTAGAATTTATCTCTGATGCACTAACTGAATTTTGACTTAACTCTTGATGAGAAGTAGTTAACCATCAACACTCACAATTTGTGTGAACAAAGGCCCGCGCGTTGTCATAACCCGCAACTCTTTTTCCCATTCTCATATCATATTCATCATCCTAAAGCTTGAAAGGACTACATCGTGTTTGTTCTAGGTATATGCTACTTCTTTTCTGTTCTTACCTGGTTCACCAATGAGTTCAGAATATTGAATATTTCAAATGAAATGAAGTAAAATCAACTATGAACCGTAGCACGATGTTGAGCAACACGACCAAGATAGCGATTTCTCTTTATTAACTTCGGCCAACGTTTCGGCGCAATCGCCTTCGTCAGAGCCTAGAAAGCCGAATACATAAGGATCTCTTTCCTCAGACGTCAATGAAGAAGCAAGACAATTCAGTTGGAAGCTAGTCGAAGGAAAGAAACAGAGCCACGGTAAAGCAATACTCACCTTAAACGTTGCATAGGGGGTACGAGGGACCACCAACTATGCAATAACTATATCTCTGCCCTATTTATAGTAATGAGGTGACCTGACCTAGCCTCAAAGGGCCTGATATGGCGCGAGTTCGTTAGTTATTGTAATACACTCCTCCTTCCGGTTCATTTTTGGATTTTTAGCGCTGATCCAAGACGCTTCCAAAGTCTTGCGCGGTAGGACTTCGGGTTCGTAGGACAAAATCGAGGCTCCAATTTGTATTTCAGCATTTTCGTGTTGCAGTAAGCGATGACTACCGAGCGGTGTACTGGTCCTTAACTTGTTCAGTCCATCTAGATGTTCCTTTATGCGGCAGCAAAGCGGGCGCTCAGTTTCGCCTATGTACGTGTCGCCACATGATATATAAGCATAAGCAGCGCGGCGCGGCGATGCGTATATCAGGCGGGTTTGCAAGACGCGCTCAGGGTGGTCGATATTCCGCCGGCCAACCTTAAAGGCAGTGTCCGGGCAAAAACTCGATTTTGAGATTTTGTGCTTACTTGTGCCTATTCGCTATGCTGAATCCGAAAATCCATATTAGAGAGCGCGAAAACGACGAAAAAGGGCTCTAACACTGGAAGGAAATCAGCAAGTGGGCGGGGTCTTCCCCACTGTGAATTCACGCCCCCAGCTTCGGGGGCGATCTTTTTGATTCCGGTTTCAAGTCATTCGTTTGCACTTGATCGGTAGTGATGTCAGGGCGGCTAACGGATTCGAGAAAATTGCTCTCGAAGCTGGAAGCGTGAATTCACAGTGTGGAAGACCCCGCCCACTTGCTGATTTCCCTCCAGTGTTAGAGCCCTCTTTCGTCGTTTTCGCGCTCTAAAATGTGGATTTTTGGATTCAGCATAGCGAATAGGCTCGGGTAAGCACAAAATCTTAAAATCGAGTTCTTGCCCGGACACTGCCTTTAAGAGGCAATTGTCAGGAATAGAGCGTATGATCGGAGTTGCTTGACTCCAGGCTGTGTAGTTTGTCCATTCGGTAAAGAGGGGGATTGTATGGTGGCAGGCGTGATATACATCATCACATGTTTATCATGTGGCG